CAAGAGTCCTGTTGCATATGCTAGGGTGTACGACACGAAACGCGTCCGCGCACCTCGATTGAGTGTCCAAAATAGAGTGCATCAAAGAATTTGATCCCCCTCCCTCAAATATCCCTTGTTTCCGTCGGTCTCAAGTGTGCACCTCTCGTCTGAACCTCGCTAAAGAGTGCTGTTTTATTTCTTAAGCTGCACGACACGAAACGCGTCTGCGCGCCTTGTCCGAGTGTCCAAATTGAAGTGTGACATCACACAGTTGGTGACAACATTGTACAGGCCTTTTTCAGACAGCAAAATACCAACAGCAAATATCCGAGGAAGCTAAAACGAAGTTCAATGATGAAAAATGGCGCCGGGCGAACGGAATTTTAACACCGGAAAATTTGAGCAACTGAGAGTAAAATTGGAAACTGTTGCATAAGAAAATACTCAGCCACCGTGACAGTGGTTTAGAGTTCATTAGATTCATTTCTAATGAATAGTCAGGTTTGGATTGCAGCCGCTATTGAGGCTTCAAAGATCTAATGAAACTAGGGCACAGCCACTATTTTCATTACGAACGGAAAATGTCGACCGTAAAAAAACGAGGTCGGAAGAATGACGGTCACGAGATATTATGAACGATTACTAAGTACTCGTAACTAAGTACTCGTAATTCCGGATCGACTTTTGTGCAATTTTTTGCCTAACAAATCATTTTCGTATTTTTGCTTCTTCCGGCCCATTTTGGAGGCATTCTTGCGCTTTTCCCCTGCATAAAGAGGGTAGAGCCGACAAGCGGCACAACCCGTGACCATCTCAGGGAAATTTTCATATATTTTGTATTAACTGTTGGTTTGTGTATCGGTCCGAACCGTATTTTCGGCTGCCCGTGCAAGTATGTGCCTACAAAATTCACCAGTCTTCCCTGTGCATTTACTTCGCCGAAAAAGCTGCGAACCTTTTTGGGTCAGCCTAACCCATTATAATTTCCCGTTGACGAAGAACACAACCCGGGACCAGCGATAGTTTCGGACATGACTGTCCAGTTCACGAGCTTGGTGTGCTACGCCGTCCAGTGGGATGATCCCGCAAGTTTGAGACGAAGAAATATTGAAACGAAAACCTGCAAGTTTGTCGGAGACAACGGACTTATTCCTATCTCAGAGTCTCAGCTAACTGATAATAAGGATGAGATTTGTCGTGAAATCGAAACTACACTTCTGATCCAGACGAGGCGAGGGCCTCGTAAGTCAAAGACAGATAGGTGTCGTGTAGTGTATTAATTTTCTTGAATCTCAGTGCTTTATTTGTATAGGTGATTTGAAAAGCAGGATCTCCATATTTTCATGGACGAATAGAGAGAGCAAGCTCCACACTGGTGAGAGCATAAAAGACTAGCATTGATATTGTCCCACCCCCCTCCGCAGATGCACACACGGCTACACGATCCATCGACATTTAGTCAACGGTGATTGTGATTTCCTGGGCCTTTAAGCGGCCTCCTTGCGGCTGCTGACTCTGACTGTTCAAGCCCTGGTTTGAATGTGAATGATCAATTGGAAACAGAAGTGAATAGCACTTCACATTATTGGACCAAAGTGCGGCAATGCGAGCGCAACAGCAGTTCAAGACTGAAGCAGGTAGAAGGGCAGCGCAAATGCGATGAAGATTGAGGCTGCAATGATTAACCGTCCTGGTAGTAAAAGACTGTGAAATTTCATCCAGACCGCATAGCATATCGTTCGGGCCCAATCGAGTGCAACTAGTGTGATCAAAATGGAACTCACTGTCATACTGGCTCCTTGCCGCGCGAAACAAGCTCGGTGTTTCGTTCCACGAGTATACCTGAGAAATTTCTATCTAGGTTGGGACGTAAGTAGTGTTACCATTGGTCGCCAGAAAAGCCCCCCCTTCCGCGGTAGCACTCCGATTCCTGCCCGTCTTCTCGAGAGCGCACGGCTCAGCGAATCGGCCGCAAATCTGCCACTCCAACCGTACATTCACCCACTAGATCTAGCATAAATTTCCAGCTTACCTCACAGCAGCCTTCGGCCGCTGCACATTACCATATATTATATCTCTCTATCAGCATCGCAGCTGACGTCTCCCTTGCCACTGTGGAAGAGGTTCGCAGGGGCCATAGACAAACAGAGAAAGAAAGAGATGCAGAACATAGGCGGGATTATGACGCTTATCCCGGGCATCATCCAAGCCGAAGCATTTAGCGGAAAGAAAAGGTGATGACGCGAATAACGTTGACGAAAATGTGATGGTCTGCAAGTTTTTGAAAATTGGGCGCTATAAGACCCTAACCTAAAGGTCACAGGAATATGACACCATTGAAGGGTTCATGGCAGTGTTTTCAGCGCCAAAAACTTTGCCTCAGGCCTTTGCATCTCAAAAAGAATTCTCGGGCTCCGCCTGATTTCTCCCCAAATTTACTCCATTCCAGACCGACTTTACCCCAAGCGACCAGGGCCTGCCGCCTCATGTAGCACAGCGCAATCTGACAGGCAAGTGGAAGCTGTAATGGGCGCTTAATCAGTTTGCTGACAACAGCATGTACCGTACAGCCTAACTACTGACAGGCAAGTGACATAAGAAATCTTCTCAGGAAGCTGTACTGGGCGCTTAATCAGTTTGTTTCTCTCCCTCACCACCATCTATGGAAGACGGAGCCCCTCTGCTGGAGACTTTCACATCTGCTGTCTCAGAATCGAATCTTCCTAAGTGCGCTCCCCTTTTGGCTCTCTGAGTCTCGGTTACTCATTGGGAATACAGCGACGCTGGCGCCTTTTTCCCTCACGCGCGGCATTTTACTATCGCTGGCGGCACGTACACTAGCTATGTCACCCAGTTCGCGCCGACTGTCCGCCATGGTCAGCCTCCTTCGTAGAATTCATTCAGTGGTGCTCACCTCAAAATTCGAGATTTTCGAATGATCCCATTAGGAGACCTCGACCTGCTACATGAGATCCATTTAGAGGATGAGTCTGGCATGACAACCCGCCGTGATGAGCTTGACCAGCTAGCGTGGGTGCCTAATCGCAAACTCTTCGATGATGGCTGGCGTTGTGGCCAAAGTAGAGGGATCCTGATGCAGAATGGTTGAACTTGGTACGTCACCATGCCCTGGTACAAATCTCTTTTAATGCTTGGTATTCCACAGTTTCGAGTCTTCAGAGATTTCCGATCTATCAGTATCTCGGTGCTTGAGATTAGACTCCTCGGAATATCGCCTATGGTTTTCCCAAGCCAATCACATTGAGTCGCCTTCAAATCACAGACAACTACGAAGAATATGGTATGTCGGACTGATAATCACGCCCTTTGATTGACCCGTGATATCCCAGGGTTGGTCAATGGGATCAACTTCACATTGCATTTCCCACAATCTCTACCAAACGGTTATCTGTTTCTATGTCCTCTGGAGGATTTTCAAACATCAGAAGGCTTGTTTCAACGCGCAGAGGCTCATGCATACTGGTCCCCTGACCCCTCCGGCACCCCCAGATTGAGCCTTGCAGAGTCGATAAATTGCGGATTCCCTGCCCCACAGCTTAAAATTCGAGTTTCAGTTTGTTCATGGGGAAATAATCGATACTACATCCTCAGCCGATTCCACCTGGCAAAAGGGTTCGACCCAGACAGTCAGGATGTGGCCATACAATTGGGATATCCACTGTATCAGATTGGCCTTCAGCCCGAGCTCTTGGTCACCCACGGTGAGTCATTTTACATGATTGGGTCACGCTCTCACCCGTTGAAAATTTAGTTGAGGAGCATTCCTCGGCTGATGATCAATCCCCGGATAGTGATAATGGATACCTAGAATTAATGGAGGATGATTCCCAGAAGCCGAATATTACTGCCACGGAAACTCGTCCGACCCTGCCGCGATTTTCAAACTCCTTAATTTTAACGGTGTTGGGTGTTGTAGGAGTCCTTGTTTTATCTCATTCTCGTTTCCGTGTGTAGATTCTACATTTAAAATTTTATTCGGCACTTTTACTCCCCATCGGTCGGGTTAGGACTCGGGTCGGAGGTGCACCATTTCTTTGCCTTGGATATAAGTACCAATATTATTGGATCATATGGATATGCATTTCAGGCTCTAGGTCCTTCGTTTTAACCCTAACTTCTGTCTGAACCTCAGCTCGGACATTAATATTGTCTCCTCTCCTCTCCTCTGCTTCAAACATCGTCGACTTCAACAATTCCTCCTTCACATTAAAGATTACCCACCTCTCCCTCGTCCACGTCCACCAGAAACACATATGTAATTTATCAGGCGCGGTGTGCGGGAGGCATGTACACCTGCGGTCCCGTGGAAACCCAAATGTCTATCCTATTTCGGGTTCAACTCCCGGCGCCTGAATTACCTCCCCTAATACATTTTTTTCTCGGCTGTTTTGAGAAACTTTGGAGGTGTTCCGAGTTCTTCTTTGGGTATACATTGACAATATCGTCTTGCCTTCATTCAACTTTATTCCTACAAGTTGAAACCTACCTCTCTGTCTCCGATCCAATTCAAACGTCGCAAGTACATCAATAAAGCCACCTTTCCTTTCAGCCCATTCCATTCCAAGAATCCAAAGTCAGCATGGAAGAACACTTTACACCATAGCCCAATAAATCGGGCGTAGTGTGCGGCACACCTCCGCTTCATCTGTTGGAGGTCTTCGTCTATGAGGCAAGCGGATGGATAGTCCGGGTTCGACTCCCGGCGCCCGAATTGCTGTTTCTGCGTTCAAATCTTTTTCCTTTCATTTGATACTGAGAACCAGAAGTTAGATGGTATGTGTTAAATTTCGAGTTCTGGTTATGGTTATGGTTACTCGCGTCTGCCGCATCTCTGAATCATTCATCATGTTGGGGTAAGTAATTCGCTCTCAGTCTCAGCATGCACTTCTTCGATCTTCGACTACATCGATGTAAACCCGCTCTAGCTGGAATCCTAGTACTCAACACAAATGAGGCACTAGAATATAATAATTGGAGGTCCACACCAGCCTTGCCCATCGGGCGTAGTGTAGGGCACACCTCCGTTTCATCTGAAAATCCTCTTTGATGTGGTAAGCGGATATTCCGGGTTCGACTCCCGGCGCCTGAATATTCCATGCTTTGAGATTCTTTTTCTTTATCCTTATTTTATAAGCGTCTAGCTACGGTCAAGGCTTTCTGGCATTGACATGCAATACTTACTCAACTTGGCTGTATGGTCGTGAACTGTGACGCGCCTCGTCGATGTGCGACATGGGCATGGTGGGTGCAAGCTCAAATCAATGCACAACCTTGACTCATGCATGCACATATGTTGAGAGAACCCTCTCGATATACAATATGAAACAATAACGACAACAATCTACATAGAGTGGATGTGAGTATGCAGCCTCGCTACATAAGTCCGTGGATCATCACGCCCATAAAAGCCCCCCAGTCTCCTCAATCAGCATGCGCTCGATCTGCGCCCTCACACTCGTATAAAAGATCGCCAGACGCTCCCCGCCGACGATGTGCACCTCCACCGCCATCAGCGCCGGGCCCGCAGTCATGACCAGTGCGTGCACAAAACTGAGCTTGGCATAGACCTTGAGGAAACAAAGGCGCGCGGCGCGGTCAAAGGAGCGCCACACGGCAGCGAAGAGGGCTTTGTTCGACAGGGGGGCAGTGTCAGAGCCGAAGGAGCGGTCAAAGAGGACGATGGAGTGCACGTCGGCGGGGAGGAGGGAGGCCTCGATGCGCATGAGGGCGGCGGAGGCGGGGAGGAGGACGAAGGATGCGAGAAGGGCGGCGGAGAGGGGGACGACGAGGACACGCAGGGCGAGGAGCGCGAGCAGGAGGGGGGTCATTAGCCTGCACGGCAGTGAGAACTTGGTCTGGGATGCGCGGGACGTCGAGGAGGAGGGCGCCGAGGGCGAGAGGGAGGAGGACGGTGGCTTGCTTGGCGAGGGCGACGGCGAGAGAGGGGAGAACGAGGGGCGCGCATTGCTTGAGGGGGACGATGCGCGTGAGGAGGGAGTACGGGGAGGGGGGCGCACTCATGCTGTGCGTCCAGAGCATGTGAATGGGGCGAGGAGGACGGAGGCAAACACGGAGAGCAAGGGGCTGAAGATGAGCATGGTGAGGCCGTGCAGAATACTGTACAGGATGTAGGCGCCGAGGCTGCGCCAGCGCGTGAGGAAGCCGCCGACACGGCGCAGATAGGCCATGGTGGCGCAAACGCTGGCGGTGATGGGCTTGTAGGCCGGCTCCTTCTTCTTGACGATGGCAGTCATGGAGGGAGACTCGATCATGGCCAGAGAGGCGACAACATCGCCGAGTGTGTAGCATGAATGATAGCTTGATAAATGATTGACAAGCTTGTGGTCGCGCCAGCATTCCACCCAAGCAGGGGCAAGAGCATGGGGGCGCACCTAGGAGTTGTTATGTGGTAGCAGAAAAAGCGAGATCTGATGTGGCTATGCCGACGTTCGGATCAAATCGGATTTTGCGTCTTGGCCACTGCCTGCAGCCACCCGCTTTTTTTCTTAATCAGTCTGCTGGAACTTGGCTGGAACATCCGGCTAGCTTCGCCCTATCGCTCTAAAACGGGCCGCGTAATCGGCCGTCCAAGTCCTCTGCTGTGCAGGGGAGATCAGGTGTATGTATGTTCACGCATGATGCATTGGCAGCACGGACTGCTCGCCGCCGTTTGCGTACCACCAGAAGCTGGTACCGTTCACTCACCACAATGTACTTCAACACACTTCCGTTCACCCTCCCATGGGTGTTACGCCCGATTCCACTACCTCGCAGACTTCCTTGAGGTCGCGGTGCCGGATCTAAAGTTAAAGTACAACAGCAGGGTGCAGTGCGGGTACTTTGGGTATGTCGGTTTCAGGTGCGTGCTGTTGTTACACTTTTCTTTCTGTCCCGCTTTCACTCGAAATTTCTTCCCTTTTGGCTGCCTTGTCTTGTCTCTTATTCATTGTGTCGGGATCAACTGTGCAGGTGCTCCTCTATCCGAACCAGCTCGCTTAAGCAACGTCATCGCCAATTTGTGCAAGAAATCTCTTCGGTGTGTCTCTTTCCTCTTTCCCCTCCCTTCCCTTCTTCATGTCCGCCTACTGACCCCCAACGAACTACTGACCTGTATTGCTGAGGCTTCGCTTGCGCGCCCGTGCTCTCCTCTCTCCGCCTTTCTTCAAGTTGCCCATATATCATGCTCTTAGGAGTCCTTTGTTTTCGCCTTGCCAGGAAACTCGAATTTGTTTCGGCTCTCAGGTCTTACAATATTGATGGACACTCGCGGACCCGATTTCAAGCTCCAGCTTTATTCCTTCAAAGTCAACCATGTAACTGCAGCCACACCAGGCCAATAAATCAGGTGTGGTGTGCGACAAGCTTCCATCCTAGCTGGGGAGTGTTGCTGGTTCGGCTTGTCGGTTCGACTCCCGGCGCCCGAACTTGAACTCTGTCAGCGAAGCTTTTTTTTGGCATTTGGGTCTCGGCCCGTTTGATGGAATAGGTGGGTAAAGTGGTTTTTCGCTTCACCGTCCACCTTCGCGACGTCTTCATCCGATGGCTGGTGGGATTTCCGTTGATATCACTGTTCAGTTCCATGTGGTCTTTAAAATTTGATGCCGAGGATTGGAGAGCCTATGCTTTCCTTGTCTCTTCGTCTATCTACTGGGTATGGTTTATCGCATCTTATTCACGACCCTCAGCATGCTTTTCTTCGACGATATCAAGAGCTCAAATCCTAGTGGTTGCTTCCAAAAAAAAATCAACAAGAATGAGCCGGGACAGTCAACCACGTATTTGCGGGCACAGCAGGATAATTACTCGGGCGTGGTGTGCGGCACATTTCCATCTCAGCTGGAGAATATTTGGCTCACCTTTGTCGGTGGAGCACTCTCGGGTTCGACTCCCAGCCCCCGAATCGTCGTCTACGGAGGCAATTTTTTTTGGATTTTGCTCTCGGCCTGCCACAAGTTCACACACAGAATTTAAATCTGCATTGCAGAAGGTCAACCAGAACCTTGATTGCTATGGGCTTTGCCAACCAAAAGTTACTTATTTTTACTGATAATACAGCTGCTGACGAACAGTTCCTGGAGAATATTTCCTTCTCTCGAAAAGGATGTCATCCCTGCGGAGAAATATCTGGGTAAGGGAATTTGATCCCACAAACACCATAACTGCGCCCGTGGAGAGGCTCACCCTCAACTTTGTGTCACCGTAACATCACGCATAACACGGTCCGATCTTTCCGGGCCAGGAGAAAATGACGCGCCTGCCGCGCCTATCCTAAATTATGACTAGATATCAAATTAGCATTCCTTCAAGTTGAATTGGGCTCCTGGGGCATATAAATACCTTGGCATTCTTCAATCAAGTGCTTTAAGTCAATATTATGGTGTTTATTAAGTGTCCAACCTTTCCTCAAGGTGGAGTTCACCGCGGCACACCCTCTACAAGTACGCATCAATGCCGCGTTAGTATTGCATTAGTGATGTGTCACTGCACATCATGACTGTGTCAATGCCGCGGCACTACACTACCATTAAGTACCTATATGTTTAGATGCAGGTATTTGTCAGGTACAACTGACAGGAGCCACAACTGCTACGACTGTCACGCACTGTTGCGCTTATCCCACCGTTTAACTAATCCGTCTAATCAATAAGTGCTCCTCAAATCATGCTGTCGCATTATAAAACTGCTCAATATACACTCCAGTATCCTCAACCAAGATCTAAGTATTTATTGCCAAGAAAATGTGACATTACAGATCACTGCAACCCCAACATTTCTGGGAAGAGTAAACACTATCCTACCTTGAACCAAGGTATCGGGAGTCCAACTGCCTCTCAACATAAACAGGCAAGAATGGTATTCTGACAGTTAGGTTGCAGTTGGGCAAGTTAGTTTCAAATACCTGACAATTCCAACACATAAGTTTGCAACAACAATCCTCGCATGGTTGCCACGATATGCCTTGTTTATTAGCTTTGAATTCTGCTCCATACATTTTTGTAACAGTGCCGTGGACCCGGAAGATTTTTTTTTGTGTCTTGTCTTCGAAATTCGCAAAATCGAACCAACCTCGTGTATGTCGGGAATATATAGCCCGTTCCTTGCATCAGCTGTGTGTCAACTCCGCCTCAGCACACGCTCATCATTGCCACCACATCTTCAACCATCCCCAGGTTTGTTTAGCTCCAATTTCTCTGACTGTATGGCTATTGCCCATGGTTGTGCCTGGTCGGCAGTCAACATCCCGGAGGGTTGAGCTAGTACGGAGCTTGAAGCACATCTAACGAAGCATTGGCTGACAAAACACATTCACTGGACGGTGCAGCACTGGACGCCTAGAAAAGGCAAGTCGTTGCCTGCCAGTAGTGTAACCTAAATTCAAATTGCCATGGCCATCAGTTGGGATCACAATAGATTCATAATTAATTGAAAGATTCAACAAGTCAAATTTTATACACCACCGATGATCATGAGAGTAATCAAAGCCAGAAACTTCAAAATCAACATCGTAGCACCACTGAAATAACGCATTGATCCTGCGGTACCTGGCACCGTGGTCAGGACCAAGGTCTCGGAATATGGTACCTAAAATACAAGGCTTTGGAACCATCATTATGTATTAATTCAACCTAGAGCTGAAGCCTGAGTATAGTGAGGTACGAGCTCAAAAGTAAGGTGTCTGTCTACAATAAACTAATGCCTGAGGGCCTCACAGATATTCTGTGAAACCTTGATTGAACCTGGTGCATTCAACATTGTACTTGGAGCGAGGCACATCATGTCTTTCAGGAGTCGCCACTGTGGAATACGCAGACCTGAAACAATCCATAAGGTCCCCCAGTGAATTAAAACCCTCATGATGCAATTTATTTCGTGATTGGAGCTCAAACATGGCGGGAAATAGTTGCATAGTCATGTTTCAGTCATAAATTGGGATTGATCCGGGCCCACCTGTCGGAATGTGTTTTGACAGTGTTTTGGGACCCAAACAATGTGTTTGGATTATAAAAGGACCACAACTTGAATTGGGATCCAGAACTCTGTGCAATAGCACAGCTAGATCTGAACGACTATCTTCAGATTTCACGTTTA